AAAAAAAAACATTTTTTCTTTCTTAACTTGAGTTGCAAAATAAGTGATAAGGTTGGAAGTTCGCTCCAGCGTTTTCACCAGATCGTTGCTTGCATTTGCACCATAAGACCAAAAAACCACACATACTCGGACATACCAAAATTGAGAAGCCTAGCTGCTGATATATATTGAAGAAATTTGAAACCATTATGGTAACATCTTCAACAACAGGATTTTACAGCAACATTCTACAGACTACTACGAGGATGACAAAATGTCCAAATAGTAATTTTCATTGGATGGTAAAATTCTGTAAAGAATCTCTTCAATCATGCCAAAACAAAACTAGTGAAAATCTATAATCTGCAAGCTTGAGAAGTCTTAAAAGATTGACATCTAAAAAGACTTTTAGACACTTGCATGGTACTTGACTGAGCAAAAGATCTATAATACAAGGAAACTTCATAATTTTCTATCAATTCACCCATCTTGTAACTGAAATATTTTAGTTCCTAGTAAAATTCAACAGTTTTTTCATGCTGCCTTGAATACCTAAGTGCCGTAAGAAAACTGGAGTGTAACCCAACTCATTTAATATGCTCCCATATCTTATGATTATTCTTAAGTATAGAAAATGCTTGGAGAAAAATTAATGTTGTAAACGTACAAAGAAAATGTATTGGGATATATGCATGTTACTCATTGAAGATTCGTGTGCATATCATGCACAATAAAAATGTTAATGATAAAGAGCATGTTGTTGGTGTGTTCATGTAACAAAAATTATTATGAAAATGCTAATTAACTTCATGATGAACCTATCATTATTTCTTGATTGATTTTAAATTGCATGATAAGAGAAAAGTACAATCTTTATCAGCAAGATATCAACTAAGTTGGTACTTATTTGAAAAAAAAAAAAAATTGAGTTGGTATTTATTATCTAAAAGACTAGTCAAATTCATTCAAACTCATATAATGCTATATAGTTAATTTTGGATACAATAACAAAAGAGAAGGCAAGCAAGAGAAGTTAAGCTAGAGTCTCTACTGAAACCATAGACACACTATCTTAGGTTGTCCATGTACAGGGCAGCCCTGAAGGCTGAAGGCTAGCTTGAAAATAAGGAAGCATGAGTTAGGATAAATCTTCTGGTGTTTGATGTACAAAACTTTTCCTCCTCAACTGCAAGAGAGTTAGGATAAATCTTCCAGTATTCAGCTCACAAAAATAACATCCACTCAAACATGCATGCAGTATATTACAAACTATATGGTGTCAGATTGTTAGTGTAAAAATAATATCCTATAGAGAAGCCTCACATAAAAGAAACGGTAGGATGCCAGCATAGAAATTACCGACGTATTAACTCAGATCGTTTCTTTATAGAAAGCAACAAGGTTAATGATTTCCCCCATGCGGCTCACTGGTTGGGCCACACTTCTTAATGAGAAGTAGGTGAAGATCACCCCTTGTCCTAGGTTCGAGCCCTCATGCTTGCTAACAAATACTAGACTAAGTTTCTACTGTTAAAAAAAAAAAAAGAAAAGAAAAGCAGCAAGGTTAATAATTAATTCTAATAAAAGCATCTATTTATGCATTCCCTTCAAATATTTCTGAGAAAAAGGATGATCATAAGTCATAACCCTGAATTAACCAATGATTTAATTGTGGTAATTTCTACTAAATAATAAAAAATCTCTGTAAAGGGAGATCATTTGCATCAATACGGGTCAATGCATTTTTCCATCAGGGTCATGAAAATAAATTCAGCACACACCTCTGGGTTTTGGTGCATACCTAATAGCACTTGGATCGATTATCTGTAATTACTACCACCTCACCTAGTGGGCTGCAGGCACACCTCATTTCATCAACTGATAACAATTGCTCACAACCATCTTTGATATGAAGCAATAGGCCATTGGAAATCTGTTTTTCTATAAGTATAGCAAAGCACATGCTCCAACCGAGAAAAAGAATAGAAAAAACCCTAGTGGCCCTCATCCCTGGGAAGGAAGAAGAATAGACTTTCGGTTTTTATTTATTTTTTACTATTCTTACTTTCTAGTTTTTGCTAATTATTTAGTTTTTCCTTTCAAACTGACACGTGTGATTTTTTATTCAAGACCAACCACGTTGTGATTGTGTTAATCATCTTTCTCAAATTGCAAGTTAAGAATGAATATGGAGACATTGATAGAGTATATGGAGAGGGGGAGAATGCATGACCATTCTATGAGTGGATAGGAGCAGGACTAACAGGTGTCAAGATTAAGGGATTCAACGATGGCACAATAGATTTGTCTACATATAGCTGGACTTACAAGGTATTTTTCTTTCTATTGTTATGATTTCTCTTTTAGGCAGCTTTGTTTGCATGTCATCAATGGAAATGTATGAGTAACACTAAAAGTTGGAATTTGGAAGTAAAATGTGGTTGATTTTAGAGTGATTCCTTAATTTTGTTGAAGATCAATGAAACAGGGTAACCAATTAATGTTCACGTGTACTGTTCATGTCCGGTTCAAGTTCAATTACATTGCTAATAAGTTTCTTTGTTGATTTTCTAATGTAATCTTTATGTATCTTTGATACTAACTGTTTACCCAAAAATATGGGCTGGTTTTAATTATATCCAATACCATGCCCTTACTTTATGAGATTTATATTATTATTTAATTGTAGGTGAACATTGTAATGTGCCAATATTGTTTTATATAAAAAGCATACTAAAAATTGATGAAAAACGCTTGAAAAATCAATGAGACAAATTTGAGCATCATCTCTAGCTCAGTCTATGTTATTTCCTTATGTTTCTCAAGATTTTTTCTTGAGTTTTATGTTGGTTTGAATGAGTTTTTTCTTAATTGATTTTACAAATTTTATGCCAGTTAAAATAATACACAACAGCTAGAGTCTTTATTTGAATTGGCAATTATGAATTTGTTCAATACCAAGATGCAACTTCTCACTGACAAGTTATGTTTCTAAAGCCTCGAAAAGTTTTGGAAAATTATATAGATGGCTAACTATAGACAATATTCTTGAGCAAAAAATAGGCTTTGTAATATGAAAGCCCTTATATACCTCTTTCTTTGTTCCTGCTATTGCCAGATTGGGTTGCAGGGAAAGCACCTAGGTATCTACAGGCCAGAGGGTTTGAGTGCTGTAAATTGGCTATCGAGCTCAGAAACACCAAAAGATCAGCCTTTGACATGGTACAAGTTAGGGATTTAAGTAAGTTTGCTCTTTCCTTTTGCAGTGTATCTTGGGGTTATTTTTCATTTGCAGTTGATTTTCATGGAAGACTATACTATAAAAGAATAAACACTTGAAATATTACAGGCTATTTTGGATGCACCCACAGGTTATGAACCAGATGGACTGGATATGATCCACATGGGGAAAGGTCTAGCTTGGTTAAATGGAGAAGAATTGGCCTATGAAAAGTTCAAAAAATAAACATTGTGTTCAAGAATGTGACTACAGAGGTAAATTCAACCCAGACAAATGCTTGACTGGCTGTGGAGAACCAACATAAAGATGGTAAGTCTCAAAAGGGAAATTGTTCAACTTTGGTAAGCCAACCTGGAGGAGGCTTTAGTCAAATTAAGGTTTTTGATCCAGAAGTTGCGGATGACTGGGAGAAGGCTCATGAATGAGAGAATGTCCCTGAGCTTATGGGGCTGGGATATTGGAGTTCATGAATCAACTTTCACCGTGTCAACATTTTGGAAGAAATTTTCTGCATGTTGTTCCTTATCATGGTTTTATCACCATTTACCCTAGAGTATGCTATGGGTACGGTAATTTTTTTTTTCTCTTATTTAATATTGAGAAAGAAACATTAAAATGATCTGGTGTAATGCTTGTGCAATACGTAGATGTTAGATTTTATTTAACTTTAATTCTTTAATTGAAAAAAAAAAATTGTTTGAATAATTAAATTATATATAGTAGAAAAAATAAACAAATATATTTAGATTATAAGATAAAGGTTAATATCAAGTGTCTTCTAATTTCTATTAACATTCTTTTTTCTTTTTTTTTAATGTAGCCATATATAACTTTTTAAAGACATACTCCTGCCAATTATCAAAGACAACCTCTTATCTAACTTTAATCACCTAATTAGAATCTTTTAACTAATATGTCATTATAAAATTTAAGAATCAACAAAATAATAAAAAATTTAAATTCTAATATGAAAAATTAAAAAATATAGTGCAACAATAACCAAAAAAAAAAAAGAAAAAGAAAAAATGCTAGTTATATAGAAGATCCTAAAAACATTTTAATTAAATAAAACGCCAGAAGACCACTGGTACAACTCTAAATCTGCAGGGGAAATAAGTGAAGTTTGGTTCCAACTTCCAACTAACGAAGTAAATAAGAGCTCAAAACAGGGAATCAAAATCAGACATAGAAAAAGTTGCAACCAATTCCCAATCACCAGGTTGTGTAACTATTTCTTCAATAAAAAGAAAAATTTTCCTTTACATCAAAGATTTTTTTTCCAGTACAGCAAAGGCATGCTCCAATCAAGAAAAAGGATAAGAAAAAATTTGCACCACACCCATAATATACTCTGGGATAAATGGTGATAAAACTGTGATAAGGAACATAACAGAAAATTTCTTCCAAAATGTTGAAACAAGGTGAAAATTGATTCATAAACTCCAATATCCCAGCTCAGAAGCTCAGAGACATTCTCTCATTCGTAAGTCTTCTCCCAGTCATCCGCAACTTCTGGATCAGAAACCTCAATTTGACTAAAGCCACCTCCGGGCTGGCTTACTGAAGTTGAACTGGTTGCAACTTTATCTATCCCTGAATTGGAAACATCTCCTGGCTGTTTTGAGGGATCCTCAGTTCTAACCAAGGCAGCAGATGAGTTTGCAGATGTTTGAGAATCTAAAATACTCCAGCGATTTATTGAAGGAGCAATTGGAGCATCCATACCTTTCCACACAGATGCATGCAGGTCTGGGGATCCGCCAGACCACTCTTCACCACCCCATGAATCTTCCCTCCAACCAGGCTCCTGAAAAACAGCTTTCTTCCATGGATTGCCTTTTAAACTTGAACTTGGCCCTGCAACTCCCCATGCATTAGTAGCTGCAGATGGTACTGATGCTGCACCATTCTGAACAACCAAAACAGCACCTTGATAAACTGATCCATGATCCAACCTCCTCATAGCAGTAGCTGCCCTTGCAGGATCACTGAAAACAGCTAATGCATTCTTGTCATTCAACCAAACAAGTTCACATTCCCCACCAAACCTCAGGACCAATGCACTTATATCTGCTTCACGAGGCAAATCTAGAAAAGAAACAACAAGCCTTGGATCCATATCGACCAAAGGATCAAAAATTGGCATGTTGGGGGCCCCAACAGTGGCAGAACCCTTACTCCCAATGACACGAGCTGGTGGTTTAGATTTTGGGGTGACATGAACCAAAATAAAACGCTTTGGCTCCCAACCAGCAGCATTGACTGCAAGCTTCCATCTCTCAGCTATTAGCCTAATTGCATCTCTCTTATCCTTCACCATTGGGCAGAAAACATGAACCTTAAGGCTGCTTGTACTTCCTCTGTTCTTGCCAAGGACCAGGAACCTACATCTTTCCTCCACCAATAACACCCACTTTGGATCACGCCTATATAGATCGACAAGTAACTCAGATGCAAAAGGATTCTCTCCAAAATGAAGAGCATCCAAGTTGGGGGCAGTAATATCAAAAGCATCTGCAAGAACCCGTTTACGTTCCAACTTAGCACATTCATCATCACAAATAAGCTTCCTCTGCCCAAGAGGAATCTTCTTGCCATTCGGTTCTACTGGTTGAAGTGGCACTGGCAATTTTTGGACCACAGAAGCTTCAAAAACAGTGTCAGCATTGAAACTGTTAACACTCCCCCCAGCATCACAAGGAACAGATGCTGTTATCCGGCCACAAGAACATGTAATTGTCACTGGGAATTCACACCTAACATCAGGACATGCTGCAATAGGGTGACAAGGAGCAGCACAACTATGCCTGCAATCTTTACGAGGGGCACCACATGTCTGTCCACAAGAAGTCTTAGAACCCATGTCAGATCCACAAGTAGTATCACAAGGAGGTGGGTGACAAGTTCTACCACATGCATGTATACCACACTGCCTGGTCTTGCCACAGAGCTTATTGCATCTGATATCCTTTGATCCACAAGGTATGTTTCTGAGAACAACATGGCCTCCAACGCACTCCTTTGCTACTGGGACTGAACAAGGTGGGCAGTCACCAAAGTGACAGCTGTGAGAAGGTGTATGACCACAAGGCTGTGGAACTGAGCATGGGAGCTGACATGAAGGAGGAGGTGTACCACATGGCAATGGAGGAGGGATTGAAGTACTCCCACATGCACATGTCAAATCACTAAAGATTGTTTCAAGGCATGGGGGGCAATGGCCACTATGACATAGTGATTCACAAGAATGCTGCCCACACCTTAGCTTCTTCCCACATGCCATTTGGCAAAAATGAGGATCCCAATCCCCAGCAGGTAGATTGTTTGAGTTTGAGAGAGGGCAACACCGTTCACTACATCGATGCCTACCACAGTTCTTCTTACGCCCACAAGGCCTGTCACATACAAATCTCTCATTCTCTATTGTTGTTTTGTAGCATTCAACTCTCTGAGAGGTTGATCCACAACGGCATTCTTGGGTTACAAGAACTGAACATGGTGGACAAGCCCCAGCATGACATACTTGGTCACAATGGTGAACTCGACATGGAAGGAGCTTGCTGCATATCTGTGAACAAGTTGGAATTGGGTCCACACAAATCTGCCTTTGCTCCAGCAAGCTTGATTTCCCACAGTAGCAAGTATTAATCCTGCTTGGCATCAGCTCACATTCCCCACATGGACCAGGATGGCAAACCTCAACACAATTATGATAACCACAGCTAAGTTTCTTCCCACAAGAAGAACTACAAGAAAAGACACCATCTTCTGCTTTAACTTCTCCCTTCAAAGCCATTTCTCCACATATGACAACTTCTACCTTTTTCTTGCAGAAACATGAGGCATTGATTAAAACTTGGCAGGGGTCACAAGGGCCCACATGGCATATCTGATCACACTGATGTCGCTTACACTCAAGAACCTTATCACAGACCTGTCCACAAGTAAGAACAGACTTCCTATCAGAGCATCTTGTTGCAAGAACTTTCTTCCCACATGGACACGGACGTGGTGGAGCAAATGCCTTACAAGAAGGGCAGGGACCAGGGTGACACTGCAAGACACAAACATGAGGGCAAAGTTCTTCCCTAGTCCTACCAGCAACAGCAAGTTCCTTCTCAAGAGGCTTCCCACATGGTTCTCCGCATGAATGTGGTGTCAAATACATATCAGAAGGTGGGTCTGTCCTCTTTCCACAAAAGCAAACGTAGTGAATATCCTTCAATGGTGTTAATTGCACAGATTGGCAACCTGGACACCTCCAGTTAAAGCCCTGATTCTTCTCAGCAACCAAATCAACAGATGTGGGGGCCTTGGCCCACTTCTTGATGCAATTAAGGTGGAATATTGAGTAACAACTTGAGCACGACCATATAGGCGCATACCTCCGAACCATATCATAACAAATCATACACTCAACCGCACTCTTCACAAGCTTATCCTGAATTTCTTGAACAAGCTGTGGCAAATTCGGATCTTTCACCTCCTTCTTCACCCCATGACTCTCACTCTTGCCTTTCTCCTTTTCTCTCCTATAATTCATAGGCCGGTTGACGCGCCCCCTCAAACCATTATTTGCTCTATGCTGGTTATCAAGTGGAGCCGAGCTCTGATTAATTTGCCCATTTACACTGGTGTCGAAATTGGAACTCAGAGATGGGTTCACAACAGATGTTGTGGATCCTTTTGGCACCCACTCCTGACGAGCGTTCTGGGCAGGAAATCTAGATCTATCCCTTCTGTCATTTCGAGCTTGAGTGCTCATATTCTCAAGAGGTGTGGAATACCCAAAATCCGTAACCACCGACAATGAACAAAACTGAATCAATCTTATAGAAATGACAGAAAAAAAAAAAGGAAAGAAATTAAACCCTAGCTTCAATTCTTCTGAAACTGCGAGAAAACAATAAAAGAATCCTCATTAATCCGAAAACATCCATTTTCAAAAAAGGGTTTGGAGGAAAACTAAAGAGAAAACCCAAATGGGTACAGCCAGTCTGAATTCAATTTCACAGACTTCCCAAAACTTTATCGTGAACCAAGCAGAAGACAGAAAAAAACAAAAAAAATAAAAAAAAATTGAAAGAAATGATGTTGAATACCTGGTGAAGAAATTGAATGAATCCAAAAGTTGTTTGGGGTTTCCTTTGATCGGTGGTGTGGCTTAGTATTTATTGATTGCGGTTCTCAGGAGAGAAGCCGACCTTACAGCGGAACGAAAATGGCAAGAGCAAGGAGATACATATAGGGGAGGATTATAATGGTAATAATATATAGTTTAGATGTAAATTTTGATTCCAATTTAAGATTTTACATCATTTTTATCTTTAATTTTTTTTTGTTTTTTTTTTAATTTATTAATTCTGAAAACTAGTATTTTTTTTAATATTTTCATTAGTTAATCCATTAATTTTATCTGAATCTATATATTTTTAATCTCTTAACTTTTATTATATATACATTTTTTGTTTTTCAATTTAAAATTAAGGAATTAAAATGTGTAAATTTAGATAAGGTTAATGAGTTAATTAACGAAAAATTAAAAAATATATATATTTTTTATAATAAAAAATATTAAAAAATTAAAAAATAAAAATTATATAAAATCTTAAAATTGAGGATCAAATTTAGCATTTAACCTAATATATACTGTTACTCATACTATACTCCTTTTTTTTAATTTTCCTGTTTTTCTTTTCTTTCTTTTTTTTTATATATTTTTTTTTATGAATTTTACATTTCTATTTGTGCTGGCATTGACCTCAAAATTAATTTACTTGTACAATAGTATGAGTAATTAATTTTACCAAAAAAATAATGTGAGTAATTATTTAACAAAATATAAATTTCAAGAATTTTTTGGCATTTTAAATGTCAATATTTCAAATTGAAATTATTCAAATACATTTTAGGAACCTTCAAATCGTTATTATATGTATAAAATGATATAATTAGTTCAGCAGTAATCTCATTGTAAAAAATTTAAATTACATGATATATGAATATAATAAACAGAGATAAAAAAAAAATTGTTTCTCATTATACAATCAAAACAAAAAAATATTTTTATTGTTTATTTATCCATTAAAAATATTTAAATCTTTTCATTATTATTATTAACATTTTTAATTGTAAAAAAGACTAATTTTTTGTAATAAATATTATAAAATTATGATATCATATAAAATTATAAAATTACAATCATGATATATTCTTTTATAATTAGTTTTTTTACTTAAAAATCATCCTTAATATTTTATACATCAACATTTTTTAATGAAATACTTTAATTTATTTAATATCACGTCATAATTATAAATTTATAATTTTACTTATCATTGTAACTATTTTTGAAAGCGATTTAATGTGTATGGTTCAGACTTTGCCCGACTGAAAAATCAAACCATTAGATTGGCTTAACACGAGAATATAGGCTTGAACCAAACCAAACCAAACCAATATTATTGATGCTGACAATGAAAAACTAGGAAAAAAAAATCGCAGTTTGTTTTTACACATTTAAGCATAAAAACACCATAAACAAGACGAGAGCAGAACAGCAGTATTTCCTGCTGCCGTGCTGCATAAATGGATTACATGATTATAAAAAAACCCATAGGCAATGGAATACTTTGCAAAAAAATTTTCTTACTTTGTTTCCCTTTTTCATCACCGTGCGGCCGTGATTTTACTCTGCATTTTCGTCGTAACTAGTTATTTCAGCTGCAAACTGCTTCTACCGCCAGTTGCTTAGTTATGCCAGGACACAATCCCTTGTTAAAATTCGCTTCTGATAGTTGTATAGCGCACTCATTTTTAGCTAAGCACAGCTGCAAGGTGAAAAGCTTTAATTGTAACCACATCTTAAGCAGCAGGAACGACAATAAAGGTCAATGGTTTTATCACGTGGACAAGTAGATTAATACAAATAGAATATTATGGTATTATTAAAGCGATCCTAACCTTTTCAACCACAGATGTTGAACTGGGGTCATGGCAATCCCCCTTTGTGTAGGATCCACATTTTCCGGTAGGATTTCCGAAGCTAGCGAATTTCACAATGGATATATGTTTATCTTTGGGGCACTTGAGACTGAAAGTTGGTGTGGTGGTTCGGTTATTTTCTGTTCCAGCAACTGATTCTTTGTGAATCATAGGGTGATCCTCGGCAACGACGGAACATAGACCTGAAGTTTTCCTTCTAGCAAATGTGATTTTTGTTGGATTTCCACCTTTCTCCTCAAAGATCACCAGAATGTTTCCAGATGGCTTGAACCAAGACCGTGGAACATGATACCTGTTAAGTCAAAAACAGATAAAACCTTTGTCCTTGGATCTCTTTTTCTAGTAATTATATTTGATCTCTTGAGGCTTACCATCTTTGTGTTGGTTCTCCACAGCCAGTCAAGCATTTGTCTGGGCGGAATTTACCTCTGTAATCACATTCCTGAACACAATGTTCCTTTGTTGAACTTTTCCTAGGCCAATATCTTCCAATTTCTTCTCCATTTAACCAAGCTAGACCTTTCCCCATGTGGATCATATCGAGTCCAACTGGTTCATCACCTGTAGGTGCATCCAAAACAGCCTGCAATATTTCAAGTGTTTATTCTTTTGTAAGTCCTCCGTGAAAATCAACTGCAAATGAAAAACAAGCCCTAGATACACTGAAACAGGAAAGAGCAAACTTGTTTAAAGCCCTACCTTATACCATGTCAAGGGCTGATCTTTTGGTGGGTCTGAGCTCAACAGCCATTTTACAGCATTCAAACCCTCTGGCTTGTAGATACCAAGGTGCTCTCCTTGCAATCCAATCTGGCAACAGCAGGAACGAAGAACGAGGTAAGGGCTTTCATATTACAAAGCCTACTTGTTGCCAAAGAATATTGTCAACAGTTAGATATTCTATATGACTTTCCAAAACCTTACAAGGCTTTACAAACATAACTTTTCAATACAAAAATGCATCTTGTTATTGAACAAATTCACAATTGCTAAATTGAACAGAGACACTTGCTACTTTGTATAATTTAAAATTGGAGAACGAGTAGTACCGAAAACAAAAGACCTCATCCATTAACATAATTCAACCAAAAAGGACTTAAATGTTAAAATACTCATTTTAATATAATGATGTAAAGGCATTTTATAAGAGAAATCATGACAATGAGATAGAAAGAAAAATACCTTGTAAGTCCAACTATATGTAGACAAATCTATTGTGCCATTGTTGAAGCCCTTAATCTTGACACTTGTTAGTCCTGCCCCTACCCACTCATAAAATGGTCCTGCATTCTAGAAGTACCAAGAGGATAGCAGTGTGATTTCTGAAAACTTTACCATCAGAAACAGTAAAACAAAGTATAAGAGATATCAACCAAAATATTGATTCAGAAGCAAAGCCGAGGTGCTTACTAACATTTAAGAATACTCAGTGGCCATACCACAATCAGACTTTATGTAGACATACGCTTGAATACATAAACCACTTTAAACATATTGCCAGGATTTTAGGGATAGGGAAAAAATCCAAGATCAATATTTGAAAATATTGTAGTCTTGTTGACACCACAGCCCCATTTATCCCACCAAAAAGGAAAAAAAAACAGTTAAACTATTAGAAAATATTTTCAGTGCAATGCTTTTCCATTTGTTGCCTTTCGATATTTGGTATCAGAGCCAGGGATTGCTAGCCCATTTAAGACGCGCCCAGTTGTGGGCACAACCCAAAACTTGTTGCTGCAAGCCCATTCAGTGTGTGACCTAAAAGGGCCTGCAGCAGAGGTTGCTAGGGGCTGGTGGACCATGGTTGTTAGTCCATGTGCAGGGCCTGATACCAGGTCTACATTTGAGGGGATATGTTAAGTGAGAAAATCCAACAACGGAAATTTATGGGAGAACCTGTTCACTACACCTATTTCCAATTGGTCTTATCTTGAGACATCTAGAGAAAGACTCAACTTGTGACAGGAAGCCAAAAGACTTGACTTGTGACCAGAAGCCAAACACTCTTGCCTCAGTGGATATCAAAATTAATCAGGTTAATCTTCACTTTAGTAAAAGATCAAGCCACTGTGTGAAACTTAACAGAAATAATAGGTCCTTTAGCAAAAGTACATTGGAATTAAGTAAAGAATTACTCACCTGTAGGCCAACAGTCAAGCTTAAGAGAGCAATTTCATTCTTCCCTGCCTTGAGAGTGATAGGGTTCTTAAATTTGAAGGATGACTTTGATCCATTTCCAGATGCACTTCCTGTATAATGTATAGTCACAAACAGAGCTCAAGTGCATGCATAACATAGTCATAACTGGTATCAGTTGTAAACAAAATCTATTTGATATATCCCAACCAATTACCATACTACACTATCAGCAACTAATATTGCAAGCTGACTGGTTGTCCACAGAAAGTGCAGACGTTAAAAGGCTTATTGGAGACGGAGGAGGAAGAGGGAGGGTTGTTGCCATAGACAATAAATGTCTCATAAAATAAATCAAGAAGCCTAAAAACGTGGGAAGAAACAGATAACAACCTTGAAACTCTTGATTCACAAAAGCATGAAGAGCATGACCCTTTGACTCAATTAAAAGGACTGGGTGGCTTCCCTTCTTTAAAAATTCTTCATTTTCACCAACAACTATACTGCAATTCAAGCAAAATAAAGTTACATTAGAATAATAGAGAACTTTTATGCTGGTAACTAGAAGCAAATGCATCCACAGGAATCATAAATACCTTATCATTTACAAACAGGCATAAAAATACAAACCATATAATGTACTGAAAGGGGGAAAAAAAAAAAACTAAAACTGCATTTGTTTGTCTATCTATTAATTTAGTAAATCTATCTCAATCAATTTTGAAAAATAAGTACCAGAATATCATGCACTTCTATTTTTTCAAAGAAGACAAACCTTGTTGTATACCACAGGTAGTCAGTACTAAATCTTGTGGTATTTATATGGTCCACAAAACCATTCTTAATGAAGTCAGCATCTCCCCAAATGCCAGGTTGCTCCACAAATACTTCCCATTCAAGATCTTTCAAGCCTTTATTCTGTAGTGTTACTGAAGGCTGCAAATCCTCAGGTACCATTTCAACTATGGAGGTCTGTGAAGTTACCTGTTGAATGTTTAAAGTGTAAGTACAAACATAGGAAGTAATTAATTAGAGACAAGGACATGAAGAGTACCAATCTAAGGACCATTGCTTTGACAGCAGATAAAATCCAGCAAGTAGTCACATTAGGTCATTTTGCTTTATCTCATTATCTGAGAGTCATTTCTTTTTCACTCTCAAATGTTTCAGTGTCAATTACTATTATTATCACCTATCTCTCTTGCCATACCAATTAAAATAGTGAAGCAACCTATGATTTAGCACTAAAGACATAAGAAAAGATAGAAAACTACCTTTGCAGTGTTAAATATTACATTCTTGCAGTCAGGCAGAATACTGACTGACCATGCAGGCAGGTTGTATGATACATTGCGAAAAACAACAGTCATGTCATTTTTATCATCTGTGTTAGCAAGAAAGGCAGCACAAGCTCCTGAAGTGTCAGCATAGACATCAGCCTGTAATGAAGTGGTTATGCATCAGGGAAGGGAAAATGATTAGAATTGGATTGAAAGCACATCAAAACTGATATAATATTATATAGGAATTTAAATATTCTAAAAAGGAAATAAGAATTTAGATATGAAGGTTGAGATTTATCACGATTTTTTAGGTGAAAATACAATTATCTTTAAAAAATAGGATAAAAAGTGGATAAATATCATTCATTCATAAGGGAGAGATGGTCAAGATTTTGGTACATGATGCGTGTAAGAGTTGTGTGTAAGTTATATATATATATATATATATATATAGTAGTAAATAGTTAACATCTAATTATGCTCGTCTTAGTTAAAAAGAGAGAAAAGTAACCTCTTGAGAAGGACCAAGTGACAAATTAATTGGCTCACTGTTCAGCAAAGCATGCTCACATGATTTTATAGCTTTATGGAGGTCCTTCAGGTGTCCCCATTTTGGAAGCCTAGGTAACCCTAAAAGCCATGCAATAATTCACTGAGTAAATGTCATTTTACTGAGAACATCATATACCAGTTTCTATGGGCAAAAAGTACATAAGATAACCACCAATATGAAAATGCAGACAACTAACCGTATTCATCAATTGGTGCATCATAGTCATAACTTGTTGTGATAAAGGGTCCACCAGAAGTTCGACCAAAATTTGTTCCACCATGATACTAAACTCGGAAAAAGGATAGATAGTGGTAAGCAACTAGAAAAATAATGATAACAAATTTAAATGGAAGATGTTTAACATGATACCACAACTAGACGGAAAGGGAAGGCATTAAATAATGATTGAACTATATCAGACATTCATGAGGTTTTGAGATTGATTGAATTCACCATATAGTAATTCTGTACACTTCCACCTTTCTGGAAAAATCGAGCAACAGAAAAGGCAACATCTTCAGGGGGCCTGTGAGGATCTCTGGCCCCAAATGTCTTAAACCTGAAAAAAAAAAATAATGATAATTGTACGTTAACTTAGTAGAAATAACATGATCCCTAAAGCTAGATTATGTGAATCAACAATAGCTTTTAGGATTTCTTCATATAACACTAAATTTCAAGCTAAGAAAATTCTAGCAGTTCCAGTTCAAAATCAAATGGAAAAGGCAAAAAAATCAAAATGTTGAATAAGGTGTCAAAAGCTTTATAGTTCTATCCAAACACATAAAATATTTTTAATTAAAATAATATCAAAGTTTTTGTCACTCCAGACCTTGGATTCTGTGATATTAGATATTACTGTGAAACTGAATGAAGTATTTGGTATGTAAGGCTGCCTAAAACCTAGCATTCAGACATAGTAACTTGCAGATGTGCTTGCATGCAAACTTGAAATTAAAATTGGAAAAGAATGTTACCATCCAGGCCAATTCTCAGTCCAAATTTTAGGCTTGTTTGGAGAATTAGGAGTAAACTGATCACAGTAAAAGGAGTTGCATGTATTAATCTGCAAAAAGAAACATGAAAGGCTATAGTTTGAGTTAAATTATACATTTAACAGTTACCTACATGCTAGCACTCGAAAGCAATATCTGAAATTTATTTGAAGAAAAGGCTTAATTTATGCAGGTAACATAAAATTTTAGGTTAGAATATGAGTACAGCATAAATTGTACTGTATCATTGGCTTCTAAAATGGAGATAAGCACTACGTAAGCAGCAAGAGCACTCACCACAGGATCAGGAGCATCATATTGCTGGCACATTATCCAAGGTACTCCAATATTCTGAGAAACGGCCATTCTGGCAGCCCACATAGCATATGGTTTGCCCCCCTCTCCATATACTCTTTCAATATCACCATATTCATTCTCAACCTGTAATTGAAGAAATATGATTAATGCAGTCACAACCTAGTTGGAATTTAACAAAAAAATAACACATGCATTTGAAATAAATAAAATGAAAGAACAACTTAATGATTACAAAAAACGAGAAAGTAAGAATTGTAAAAAATAAATAAAAACCAACAGCCAATTCTTTCTTCCCATGGATTAGGGCTGCTGGGGTTTCTTCCTACCAATACTAAATTAAATGTAGACTGCATAAGAATTTAGTTAATTGCGGTCCATTATTTAGCAATTTCCCTTGAAATTCTGCACTTATATAGTTATATGCTAATGTTATTTTATAAATCAGCATTGACAAGATTTAGAAATTGGAATGACTGAGTTTTTCAGGATTTTGCAGAACATGCTAAAAGACTTGAAGACCTTAGAAGTTGGTCACAAATCTCTATATCTATCCTGATCATAAAAGTAAGTGACAAATCTCCTTAAATCCATCTTTGTTCCCCCCTATAGCAGAGATTTGAATTCAAGTGAAAAAGTAAATAAAGCAAATGCCAGAAATTTCATCAAACTTGATGAGTATAACTGGTGGCTCTGGCAGTTTGCATATAAAGAAACAGTTACATAGAGTATTAAAGATAAACTTATACTTGCCTGAGCGAGGATGATTGGACCTCCTTGTGAAGCAAAAAGCTTCTCCTGCTTCATTAGGTTTACTATGAATGTCATGAATTTCTGCATGTGATACTGAACCAAAACAAGCAACCAACCAACTCAATGAGAAAGCAATGACATTGCACTTTATTTGGTAAAAGTTGGAGTATAAGATATTAAAGAACTTTAAATATGCTTATGATGGCATTATAGAGACACTCCCATCCAAAATACTGGGAGTTCGAATTTCATACCTTGAAGGGCTCATTATCAGTTCGAAAGACAGTTCCTGGTACATAATGCAACCAAACAGGTACACCACTACAACATAGAGTGAAAATAGAAAAAAAAAACATGTTAAATTATTTACACTAAGCAAGATTTGATGGTGTTTACATAGTAATGAATGCTTGTATTGTAAATTGTAAGTTGGATGCACAAAAGACATACCCAAAATACCATTCTGCTGCAACAAATGGGCCAATCCGAAGTATCATATACATCCCAGCCTGCTGCACAATCTTTACAAACTTGACAAGATCATAGCGTCCCCCAAAATAATACTGGAATTCCCAGTTGCCAAAAAAAGAAAAGGAAGAGGCAATTTAGCCAAACAAACTCCATAAGTTAACATAAATTCCAATTATCTCATTTATCCCACTCACATTTCCAGGGGAAGGCTCATGACCATTCCAAAATACATAAGATTCAATCACATCAACTCCTCCCTCCTTTGCCGTTTGAACCAGTCCTGGCCACATCTGCCACATCCAAAATTCACATTAACAAATCAAGCTCTATAGATTCCAAACAGAAATTCAGTATTTAGTAATCTGTGCCCCAATATCTTAATCCAATTGCTTAATCATATTAAAGATTCTATTAACTGATTAATTAAATAAAAGGCCGGCACAGGGAGAAACACTGTACAATTCTAAATCTGCAGAGAAAATAGAGAAGTTTGGTTCCAACTTCCAAGTAAATCAGAGCTCCTAACATGGAATCAGAATCAGAAAGAAGATTATGAAATGTAGAGGAGAGGAAGAAGGATTAGTAAGGATGTGAATGTGAATGTGAATGTGAGGAATGGAAGTCTCACCCCAGGGACGCTGCGAGGATAATGAATGGAAGCAGAGATGAGGAGCTTCCGTTGGCCGTCGATGATGAGAGACCGGCGATCGTAAGTCACATTTGCAGCTGGAGAACAGGAAAAGGAACAACACAATGTGAAAGCAAACAAGAGGAAGAGCTTCTTCATTTTTGAGCTAAATTGGGAGTGGAGAAGAAGCTCAAGCAAGTCCTGCTCCTTTATAGCACGGACTCACTGTCCCTGCAATTTGTTTACAGGTAAAAAAACCCATTAATTGCCCTCCAACTTGTAAACTTTGAAAACATTCCCATTAACTTATTAATTTAAGAAAATAAGGCCAGAGTTAACGGTACGCGGCACATAGGTACAAACTTGCGTAGCTGGACATGCTATGGATTCCACCAAAAATTTTAGGGAAGAGCAATGCTATGGGCACTCGCTTTTCGCACTCTCCGGTCAGCACTTTCTCTTTTATTGGGCCACGTTATCTTTGTTCCCGAGAAGTTGGCCTGAAAGCTTTAAGGAAGCTTACGTGGCCCAATGAAAGGGAAAGTGTTGGTCGGAGAGTGCAAAAAGCGAGTGCTCCTAGCATTGCTCTTTTAGGAAAATGATTGAGGTAGTGGGACACTCTTCATGTCGTTCAAATAATTTGTTGTTTTTATTTATTCAGAATTTATTATATTAAATTTATTTATTTATTTATTTAATAATATATAAAATTTTTTTATATCACTGTTTAAAATTTGAAAAAAAGTAAAGTAACTGTAGTAAACAAATAAAAAAATATTTAAATTATTTAGTGATAATTTTTTTATTATAAAAATAAAAAATAAAATTTTAAATTTAAATGGTATAATATGTACAAACACTCTGAAAGTAAAAGGATTGAGAAATTGCCTCCCACTACCATGCATCTCAAAATTTTTTTTTTTTAAAAAAAGTCATCTTTTCCAATGTAAGGGAAAAACAAAAATGTAGCTATGAATCCATGAAGTTCGCCTACTGGACGGAAAAGGAAGAGTCTGACGGATGTAAAAGGAACCAGAAATAGAAAATCAACAGAACTGGTTAAGAACAACAAATTTGCTTTCGACGCAAAGAGATGAAATTTCGAGAGCATTTTGTTTTTTGAAAATTTTCTCTCTGCTGCTTCCAATCTCATCCGAGCCGCTTTCCTTTCTGGCGATGGCATCGGCCTCGAGATCATTGAGTCCGTCGGCAAGGGGAGGCGCTGGAGGAACCCAGACCTCTCGTCGCAGATGCTTGCGAAAGAAGAAGAACCAAAACCCAGCAATGCTGGCCTCCTCTAGGGTGAGGGAGGAGATTTCAAAGCAAAATTTCTCGATTTTCTTCGGGACTGTGGTGGCAGCAATGGGTAGGGAGGTGAAGAAATCGACGATGATTTTTTTTTTTTTTAATTTTT